ATAAATAGTATGTTTATTGAATGAGTAAACTCTTTTTTAAGATACGGTCAGTCCTCATTCTTTGCAGATGCTGCATTGTGAATTCACCTAATTGCTAAAATTTATATGTAATCTAAAAATCAATGCTGAAGCAGTTTTACAGGCATTTTCAGCAAACACATGACAAGAGCAGAAAAAATTGGGTCTCCTAACATGCATGTTCCCAACTGAGGCCAAAAAAAAGGATACTCGGGATACTCTGCCTTCTTGTTTAGGCCCTCATGCTATAACAAGTATGATATTTATAGTATACTGAGTGCCATATTTTTCATATTTCTGAGCTTTGTTTTAGGGTTGTCTATGTTTAAAATGGTGTCCATTGTGTGCTATAGTGCTGTCTAATGTTCCTAAGTGTGAGAAGATTGTGATATGCCTGAAGGAGAAATACATTCATTCATTTAGATAAGCTTCATCAGGCATGAGTTGTAGTGCCATTGGCTATGAGCTCAGTGTTAAAGAATTAATCATGCATATTAAATAAACTGTCTTTAAACAGAAACATATACAAATCAAGATTATGAATTAGTCAGTTTGCACAAATGTTGCAACCAGAGGCTTGTAGGAATCTTTGCATTTCCCCCAGGGAAATAATTAAGTATTCACTAATTCAGTGTTTGTGCAACTTTGTGAATCAACTGCATTAGATTTCGGTATAATTTCTAAAGACTTTTCATTAGGTATTTATCTTCTATTGATACTGTCTTTGGTAAGAGTCAGGCAGAATACCAGGTTTTGATGAATTCCTATGGGAGAGTTTTCTCCCCAACTTTATTGAGATATAATTGACTTATAACATTGTGTAAATGTAAGGTATGCAATGTGATGATTTTATATATGTTCATATTGTGAAATGATTATACAATAAGGTTAGTTACACCATAACCTTTCATACTTACCAGGTCACAGAACAGCCCTGTGAAGCAGTCTATAAGAGGTAAGGAACATATGATTGCCCATGTGTGCAGTGTTGGAAGTGGGTCCTCCCTGAGTTGAGTCTTCAAGAGCTCTGCAGGTCCTGTCAACACTTTAGTTACAGCATCTTGACAGATCCTGTGTCATAACCAGGTGGTCCAGCCACTTCCAGATTCCTGACCCATAGAAACTCACAGGAAATAAGTTTGTTGTTTTCTGCAGTTATGTTTTAGAGTGATTTGTTACACAGCAATCAATAATATGCATTTCCAGGAGTATTATTATTTAAAACATTTATGCTGAGCCTTTGAGAGAGATTAACAAAAAAAAATAGCAAGAGGTAGACCTAGGAAACTTAGAAAATTAGGGAAGGATACAAACACAGGCTTCTGTCAATTTTGAAGCATACTTATTTTAATTTGCATGTAGTTCATCAGTTAATGTGGTGCTACCCAGCACTGTGTGCGGTTTTAAAGAAATGACAGATGCTGCTTTTAAGATTTTCAGGGGAAGTTGAGCTAATGAGAGTGTCACATACATAGGCTCAACAATTATGCATTCACTGATAGGACCAATCACTTCTGAGGGTTAGCCAATAGGTCATCTGAGGTCCCTGTTAAATCTCTCTTAATTTTATTTCCACTTTTAAACTTGCATGAATAGTTCTGATGATAATTACTGAATGTTGATATGTATGGAAAATCAGCATTCTACAAATATCCAACTTGGGCAGCTTTCATACACGTGTGGATGCTTGAAATTCAGCAAATTTCATTAGAATCACATGTTTGCTTAGAGAAATAGTAGCCAAAAACCGTGCTGAGAAAACACACACACACAGATAAGAAATATTAGGTTGAGTGTGTAAGAATTGCAAGTTCAACAATGGGTCTTTTGAGATCCTCTCTCTGCTACTATTATCACTAATATTTCCTGGATGGATCCCTTAATTCTCTGCCTCAATAGAAAGTTATATTTAATGAGACAGCAATACTATATATTGCGGGGTTGTTCACCACCTACATTTCATTTTTATGCATTCTGTGTTAATGAGCATCTTTGTGCAATTGTTAAAATATTATTGTACTTATTTTTAAGTAAATATAGCCTTCACCAATTCCATTTTCAATTGCTACACATACACACACACACACACACACACACCCCCTCACCCTCTTTTCCCCTTCACCTACTAGACTTTAGGATGTCATCTAGAAAACTTGGCCTTAATCTTTGCAATTTCACTTCCTTCTTCATTTGTCCCCCCATAACCAATATCCTGCCCTCATTTCTAATAACCTCAAAGACACTGCAAAAGGTGATATTTATGACCCACTTGCAATCTGAGGTTCTTTACTCTTAGCATTCTTTGACCTTCACAACTGCTGTGGCCTTCACTCAGCTCTCTTCATACCTAGACTGTCTCCACTTTCAGGAACACCATTTGACATCTTAATTTAATGTGGCAAAAAGGAATTCTTAATTTTTTCCCCCAAATCCTCACCCCCTTCTAAATCTACCGCTCATTGGTCTTTCCCTTGTCAGTAAGATGAGTCACCTGTTGTTAATCCAACAGGCGTTCCTCCTGAGGCCTTCCCTCCTGTGACTCCCTTAGAACATCAGCGTTCCTTGTGCATTTTCCTACATGGCAGACACGCTCTCCTCATTCAGATCTTTCAGCTTAAGTATTCATTCCTCAGAGACCTTCCCTTTCCAGTCAATGATTGGGAAGCTTCCTTGTAACCACACCACTCTACTGAAATTGCTTTTGTCCTGATTTCTCTCCCCTATCCTGGCTTTTGTTTAATATTTGTCTCCTTCAGAATTCTGCCCTCACTACTAGACTATAACTCCATGCAGGCAGAGACCTTCTACCTCTTACTAATCATATGGTCAGGCACACAGTTGATAAGCAAAATGTTTTTGGAGTCAATCTAGGCCTCCTCCTTTTCAACTACAACTAAGCCACAACAAAGCTGCTCCCTGGAATCCCTTGAGTGTCCTCTCCCCCCTTTTGTAATCTGCTGTCCCTCAACATAGCCCCAATTTCACCATTGGTCTCTGACTTCTGAGCCTGGCATGGCCCTGCCAACATCTCTCTCTAGAAGTTCGGGCACCTCATATTCTGCTCTCTCTGTTTATACTCCCCAGCAGTTAAGAGTGGCTCAAGAAATCTATAGAATCGTGCCAATCTGGTCCATATTAAGCACATGCTTCCATATTAAGCACATGCTATCAAAAGCCAGTTGACCTCTCCCTCCTGCTTAGCTATGCATTGTCAACTTATTGACTTGTTACCAAATTGCTACATGGTTACAAGAAAATGTTACTACCCTCCCCCCACCATCCCAGTCCCTGCTCATCTCTTCCCCAGGTGGTTGGGGTCATTTGTGAGGGCTTCTTTCTCAACACTCCTCCCCACTTGGAGTTTTGATATCTCAACATCTTCATCTATGAATTCCTCTATCCTTCTCTAAGGAATAGAGTGATCTTATTTTCCTTCTAGGCTTATCTCTCTACATCCCCACTAAGATTCTCTTGACATGTTATTGCTTCAATTATTTTATTTCCTCATGTCTCATGACTTTTTCTTCTCCCTATAAATATGTCTAGATCTTCATTATTCTAAAAAAAATTCCCCTTTACTTACTAACATATGAAATAGCTTCAGTCTTTCCTTTGACATTTAGATAGATGATGATTATAGTTTGGGCCCTCGGTTTTCTTACAACCAATTCACTCTTTGACTCTTTGTTATGGCTAATAACAGTTTATGTTAGCCCTCCTTTCAGTTATGGCTAATTTCTGCCTGATCGATTTCTCTAAAGTTTTGTCTCTTCTCCTCCTCCCTTGGAGACTATTTCCACCCCAATGGCTTCAATTATTTTCATTTAAACAGTTCCAAAATCTTTATTTGTGTCTTAAATCTTAATCTTAACATGAATACTATATATATGTGTGTGTATATATATATATATATATATATATGTATGTATACAAACACACACATATACATATCCCGTAACTATTCGCCACTCATCTTACCAGGGAGTCCCCTCCAACATCTTAAATTTGTCAGATTTCAATCCAAACCTGTTGCCCTTAATTCAAACCTGCCTGCTTATTTTCCTAATATCTGTCACTGAATCCCTCAAATACTGTTCATTCAAATACAAAACTTAAGAGTGATCTTTACACCACATTTTCTTTCCAGCCCATATTTTCAGGTAAACCCATAGATTATAAAAGGCCCAGTGAGCACTCTGAACTCTCATATATCCCTTGCCATGCCTGCCTTACACGCTCATTTATTTATTACCTTGTTTTATTTCCTTCATAGTGTTTATCACTATTGAGAATCATGCATTTATTTATGTGTTTACTATCTCCTTTCCACACATATTGTAGAATATAAATTGAGGACAAGAATTTGATTTTGGTTCATCGTTGATCCCTAAGGCCTAGCCCAAGTATAGATCTTCTATAATTAATTGCTGAAAAATATAAATACGGGGGGGGAGAATGAAAGACCAAAGAAGATATGAAATCTCTCTCGCTCCCAGTGACTCTCCTGAGGCCAGCAGTCTTCAGCTGGAGAGAGTTTTACTCCAGGGTGAGTGCTATAGGTCTCTTTCTTGCTGTGGTAACAAGGGAAACTCAGCACCAACCTCCACTCTATGCAACTTTCCACATCAGAGGCTGGGCGGTATTACTTGGTGTTCATGGCCATGAGGGAACAGACTTGCTGGGCTCCCTACCAATAGTGGCTAGAAGTTAGATAAGTTGTGAATAAAAATAAGCAAAACTGGTGAATGTGAGTAGAGAGAAAAAAGAAATCAAAGAAGAGACTGTTACTCTGGAAAATCAGTCAGCCCTTCAGCAAAAGAACTCATAATGCATCAATTGTCAGTTCTACTGAACTATTTGTGAATGGAATGCTTTCTGTTGAATGAATGAATGCAGTTCCATAATTTACAAAGTCTGACTCAAAAAGGCCTAAAGAGACATAAGCATGATTTGACTAATCAATTATTACTCGTGTTTTCCCTTCTGACAACCACAGTCATTTTATTCTATCACTGAGACTTTAGTCCCAGCCAGGCTGCAGGAGAGCCCTCACTCTTATCTAATGGGATGATTTAATTGTCCACAGGTTATTTTCCACAATGATAAGCATTTCTGATCTGAGGAGTAAGGTCTTCAAGTCAGTGAGAAGTTTTCATTGCCCGTTTTCTTGCAGTCAGAAGATTCTTACAGCACTGTCTTGCAGTATTCTAGAACTGAGAAGGTCTGTGAGAATTCATTTCATTTTCTTCTGTTGTCCTGTAGGCTGTACCAAATTCACTAAGAACAATAATTATAAGAAATATGATTAAAACTTTCTGAAAGAGGCACCATTGGTAGTTCTTGGTAATGAGTTTCTGGCTTCTCTGGTCTTACCTCAGAAAGCTATTTTATTGTTGTCTTACTGTGTTTTTCCCCTAAACTTAGACTGACAGGTCCTCCCTTAACTTTTGTTCTTTGCCCCATCCTCTACAGACCTGGTAGAACTGTTGACCTTAGGAAAGGTCAACAATTTGCCCTAAGAGTGCCTTATTATGTGACTAGGGAATGGGATTTTACCCAACCAAAGATATCCAGTGGTCATACGATAGCCTCACTTTTAAAGTTTAGGGAAAAGATGCAGAGAAATTGCCCTAATATTCTTAATACATTTTGTGCCCATAAAATGAGGCTGCAATCCATTCTTTCTTTTTAGCAAAGTAGGAGCCGAAATGTAAAATAAATTGAGTTCAAATAAAAACTCAAATCTCACAAAGTCTTACATGCTTCTCAAGGCAGAGTCGTGTCTTCTAAAGTTTGGCCACAAGAGGGAGTAAAACCCAGCATTATGCAAGCCATGCTGGGCGGGAATAGCAAGGTTGGCTGTTTTACCTTTCTCTTTAAACAAATCATCCTCAGCTCAGTTGCCCCAGAAAAACACAGGCATCTGGTGTGCTGTGTTTATTCTAAGGTTACTATTTCTAAAAATAGTTTTTTTCTAAAAATCTCCTTCGTTGTCTGGGAAGCCCTGAGATGGTGTGGTGAGTGAGTGAGGGACCCTGCAGGCTAGGACGAGAAGGCAGTTTACATGTGAGAGCTGCGGGCGCCCACAGGGCCGGAGACAGCTAATTCAGCAAACCCTCTATACAAGCAGAAGTTTGGCTGGGAGCCATGAACATGGCTGGAAGAGAGGAAGAAAACTGAGGTGGTGTCCCCACACAGTAGAGGGGCTGAGCAATTATGGGGAGAGGTTTGCTTCAGCACATAGTGGCACATGAATGAGGCTTTCCAACTTCTGTGGGTTCTCCAAACAGCACAAGGAGGTGTGTGTGTGTGTGTGTGTGTGTGTGTGTGTGTGTGTTTCTACATGCATATGCTGGAAGGCATAGAGTGGAAAATACCGAGAATTTCGGGGTTCCTTCCATTTTCCTTTTCCAAGTTTTATCCCTCTCTCATTTTCCAGTTCCTTAGTATACTGTTACCATTTTTAGTCATTTTTTTATCTTTCCATACATTCCATTCTAAAATTCCCCAAAGACCTACGATTAAAAAAAAAAAAAAATCCCTCAATAGCTGAGTTTCTATCCCTTTGAAGGATATTTGGGACAGTGTTAGATATCCCAAAACAGTGCTATATACGCTCCCCCTCAGAAACCCAGTCCTTGATCCAGCAGTTCCAGCCTTCTCTGTATCTGCAGTCACCATATTGTTTTTGAGTGAGAGTTCACTGGGCTTCAGTGAACAGGCCTCCGTAGTCCAGACCTGGATAAAGCACCTGGGAGAATCTGGTACCCAGACCCCACCTATAGAGAAACTAGAGCGGCTTCCCTCCCACACAGACCCCAAGTCACATAGGAAACAGCTGTTCCAGGTCTCCTCCAGAAGCGGCTGCTGGAGGACAAGACTTCATTGTGTTACCCTGATGAATCTGCAGGAGAATGTGATCGACTTGTATACTGGAGGAGTCCTCTCTCTAAACCTGTAGTGTTCTTGCTGCAGTTGATAGTTTCTGAGTCTTTTTGTTAAGACAAAAAAAGAACATCAGACTGAAAATTAAGAGAACTCTGACTTTTAGTCTGCTCAGATCTCACTTTGATTTCAGATAATTCATGGAACTCCTCCGACTTCTGTTTCTTCATCTATAAAATGAGAACACAAGACAAGACTGTCTGGTTCAAAAGTCCCTGATTTCTGGTGGTAAATATAAAGTCATCTACCATATCTAGCCCTCTGCCTCCACCTAAAAGTCACTAGAGAGGGCTGGGGTTAAGTGCACGCCTTACCCCAGGGCACATAGCCATACTGTGTGGGAGGAAGCAAATTTAGAAGGAAACAAGCTTCATTTATTCTGCCTGATATGGTTATCTCTCTGAGGCTTGTGCCCAGGCAAGCGAGATGAGGGTGAGAGGGAGGGGTGAGGAGGGGGACATGCTGTCAAATGTCAAATGTTGAACAAAGTCTTTGAAGTCTGACAATTGAGACTTCCGGTAACTTTGGTTTCTACTTTTACAAAAAACGGAGGGAAAGAGACGGGAGAAGGGTTGAGGGGAGACAGAGGTGAGAAAGAAGACAAAAATCAATCCAGAAATGAGACAGTCATTGTATAGGTTTCATGCAAAGACGAGGCAAATAAAATCTAAGTGTCTTGTGAGCGGCCTGGGGCTCGCTCCTTCTGTGTTGAGGACAACCCCTGGTTATGCTTCTGACACTACCTTGGGGCCTTAATGGGCAAGACCCAGAAGAGGGGTGAGAGAAGAGGGGTGAAGGGACAGCCTTCTGAGAAATGTGCCCGTGTGGGAGGAGAGCATCTCAGCAGCCCTGAGCTGTGGAAGGGAAATAAGAAACACACCTGGACCAGTGAAAGCAAAGATCAAGTGCAACCATGCAATGTGGGACACGGGGCTGTACGTCATAAGGGCAGAGTGTACGAGGTAGGAATGAATGAGAAGGGAACTGAATGAGGAGGTGGTGTGAGTCTGTATAGGCACAGAGGGCTGTATTTTAAGGAAGAAATGGTGAAAAGAAACACTCCCTCCTCACCTACATGTTCAGCCAACTAAGAACATGAAATGTAGCACCCTGTTGGCCCAGATCTCCATAGAGTTACCAGGAGAAGGCTCAGAGAAACCTTAGTTTAAATTCTTTTTTTTTAATATTTATTTATTTATGTAAGAACCAGAGTACATTTCAGAGGTGGTGGGGGTGTGGGGGTTGAGAGGATTCACCAGGCACAGAGTGGGGAACAGAACAGGCAGACTGACCAAAGTACACTGCTGAGGGGAGCAGCAGGCGAGTCAGGAGAGGTCTGCTGCACCATGTGTGTAGCTCCCCGGCCAGCCGGGATCGAACTCGCACTGCAGAGGCTACGGACAGCTTCACAGCACTACGCTCAACCACCTGTGCCACCAGGGAGGCCCTTTAATTCTAATTACTGAGTGTGGGGATGGGTGAGATAGCAGATGGGTCATGGAAGAGGGCCCTGCATTTTGTCTGTGAAGCTTGGGTTTGAATTGGGGAAAGATCCAAGCAGCCCTTCCACACCAAGTGAGTCTGAAGCCAGTGCAGAGGCACTGTCAGGGTCTCCCTCTGTGGGATTTTTTTTAAATACTTCACATAGAGCATTGGCTTCTCTAGCCAGTGGCAACACTGTTGTGATAAAACAAGTGCTGGTCCTGGAGAACCTTAGGCCCCATGCCAGACCCAACATTGTATCATGAAAGAAACCTCATTGGAAACTGGAGACACTGGAGGGGGGCTGTTTCTGGAAGGGGAGGCCTCTGTTGAGACATTGAGAGATGCCAACCTTGTTCTTATTCATGGTACCTTAGTTCAGGGAATTGATGGAGAAAACAGTCCTTAACTATTTCCTCTGGAAATCACCGCTGAGTGAATGCCAGGCTATTCTAGAATCTCCATGTCCTAGGGCTTCTTGCCTGTTGCATGGTGAAGGTGAAATGCAGAGGGGGCGGATAAAAGAGGCCATGGCTGTTCTTCTAAACTCTTAACTCCATTGCCAACTGGAAAATTCTCCCATGTCAGGTCCTGTAAGGTCACAGGCGTTTTCATTTCATGTAGGACAGAAAAGTATCCACTGATAAAGCTCTGGAGGGGTTTTCCAATGTGATGTGATTGGGGGTGGTGGGGGGAACACCATATGCCCTGCGTGAATTATTCCACAGTCCTCCAGATGCTCCCCCAAGTGACAGAAACTACAGAAAAATTCCTGTTCCAGTTGTCTTACAGCTGCCTGTTGCCTAAAATTCTATGAGAAAAGTCCTGGGACTTCAGATTTCCCTTTGTCCTCTCCCTCTCCTGCCTCATTGCCTCCCCAAACCCACAAGAGAAAAAAATTGACTGACTGGCAAACAATGGATGGGGGTGCAGGTGTGGTGGATCAAGTGCAGGTTTGCTTGCTGAGGGGCATCTGTGGAGACAGCCCACCTGCCCAGGTCAGGAGGAGGGAGGGTGTAGGCCTCAAAGCCCACAGCGCAATCCAAAGAGGCTGGAGTGACGCAGCAGGGAGCTCTCAACTACTGGGATCCCAGGATCCCCAGCTGGACTCCTGGCCCAGGACACCCAGTCACATCAACTAAGTCCCTACTCCTTTGTCTCCCCCTCCTTGGCCTGAGCGCTCCCTGCTCTGTCTTCCTCCTGGGGAGCCAGCTGCAGCATGTTGGAGAAACGGGCCCTGTCACGCCTGTCTCTAGTGTGTTATTGTTAGTGTTACATTACAAATCCCGTTTCCATGCTGGGGTCCCTTGGGGGTCATAACCAGGAGAGGCCATGACCCTGTCAATAAACAGAACCCCAATCCTTAATGTAACCACTTTGCATTCACTGGGCCTGCTCCACGGGTTTATATATCAGATTCCTCTCCCAGGAAAGATGGGTTCAGAGAGGCTCCCTGGGAAAGGCAGGATACAGAGCCCATGAACACTGGACAGCTGCTGATCCTGATGGCAGGTGGATGTCAGACATAGGTTTTGCCTGGACTCCCCTGAAGCCCCCCATTTCTCACACCAAGTGTATTAGGTGTATCACTCACCAGCCTTCAAAAGCTCCTCTTGCTGCTGACTTCCCACAAGGATACAGCCAAGACAACAATCTTTGCAAAATTCTACCTCCAAGAAGACTCTTTACAATGTTATTGGGGTGAATGTGAGAATGTTAAGCAAACAGAAGCAGGTACCCAGATCCTGGCAGAGTCACTCCGTGGGGGCAAGGTCCTCTTTAGTCTACTCTTAATCTTTCTAGAGATTAACCCGTTCAATACAGTGTATTTCTTCTCCAGATCAGAGCCA